ATTAAGCATCGACATAAGACTGATCCGATGCTAAATCGACGCTAAATTAGCGTCGAAAACAATCGATGCTATTTCGATGCTAAATTAGCGTCGAATTAGCATCGAAATATAGCATCGTTTTAGCGTCGATTTTTCCGATGCTAAAATAGCGTCGATTTAGCATCGGATCCGTCTTATGTCGATGCTAAATCGACGCTAATATAACGTCATTTTAACATCGAATTAGCATCGATATATAGCATCGAATTAGCGTCGAAAGTAATTCGACGCTAAATTAGCGTTGAAGTCGGTTTAGCGTCGACAGATTAGCGTCGAATTGTCATTCGACGCTAAGTCGATACTAAAAGACTTTAGCATCGATTTAGCGTCGAATTTTGCCGACGCTAAAACTGTGTTTTCTTGTAGTGAGTCAATGGATCTATCTTTTATTGATCCCTCGTTTCTAGTGACAATTATAAAACCAGAGGACGGCCTACAAATCATGTCCTACATAAATTCAACAAGGTAAAAACTAAGATGTCTCATTTCACAAGACATTGCTTTCAAACATAACATATATATCAAAATCCATTTTGTAGGGAACCAATTGCAACGATCATGCCTACAAGATCACGAACAAGACATAAATTAGCACCATCCATACCATCCTTCTCATCAAGAGGTCCTTACTTTCTTACCATAAGCCTCCTCAAGGTAAAAAAGCACTGGGTTTCACTATTAACATGCTCTTTACAGACTATGCATAAGCATTTATAATAAAATTAATACTCACAATTCATTGTCCACAAGTTAATCCCATGAGAGACCTGTTTCAGCCTGATATTGTAGCGCCTGGGGTTAACATACTAGCATCGTGGATGATCGGTGACTTAAATGCAGCACCAGAAGGCAAGCCACCACCACTCGTCAACATTGAATCAGGGACTTCAATGGCATGTCCCCATGTCTCCGGTATTGCTGCTCGTCTCAAATGTGAAAACCTTTCATGGAGTCCTGCAACAATCAGATCTGCCATCATGACAACAGGTGAGATAATCAAAATCAAGTAAGCAGATATTAATTAGGGATTACAGATTGACCAACTGCAACTAACCCCTATCTTCACTCTCTATATCTGCAGCTGTGCAAATGACCAACACAGGAACCCATATAACTACAGAAACAGGCGACAAGGCCACACCTTATGACTTTGGTGCTGGTCAGGTTACTATATTTGGGTCTTCATCACCTGGACTGGTTTATGAAACAAATTACATGGACTACTTGAACTTTCTCTGCTACTTTGGGTTTACTACTGATCAGGTCAGAAAGATCTCAAACCGCATACCAGAAGGGTTTGCTTGTCCTGAACAAAGCAGCAAGGAAGACATATCTAATATCAACTACCCATCAATCTCAATTTGGAACTTCAATGGAGAAGAAAGCAGAAGGGTAATCAGAACAGTGACAAATGTAGCATCGCGCCTCGTTGGAGAGGCAAATACTGTCTACACCGTGAGCATCGATGCACCAAAAGGATTACTAGTCAGAGTGATACCAAGAAGGCTACATTTCAGGAAAATAGGAGACAAACTTAGCTACAAAGTGATATTTTCATCTACTACATCCACACTTAAGGAAGATTCATTCGGATCGATCACATGGTCTAACGGAATATACCGAGTACACAGTCCATTCGTAGTGACCAGCAAAGCTGACGATATCGAAGATTAAAGATAATCTAAACAGAGCAAAGTACTGGAAGTAAAAAAGCCATACTTTAAAAGAGGAATAAGGTATAAGCAAGACCAACACTTTACTCTTAAAATAGTTTCATAAAAGCCAATAGAACTTGTTAGTAGAAGAACAAAACCATATCATTAGATTTCTTCTAAAGTTCTAATAAGATAAGATACTGACAAACTGCAAAACCCAAAGATAGATAAATAGAAAAGAAAAAGCCAATCCTCAAATCCCAAAAGCTAAACACATCTAAAGATTTGATTTTATCCTAAACACTGAATCCAAATCACTCGAAAGCCCATGCATTCTCCCTGCGAACCTCTGCTTCTTCCTCAGGTGTGTAATCGTTCTTGATGTTGAAGAGAGCGCGCATATCCTCTGGAGTTTTTCCTCTCATCATATCAGCAACAGTCTTGCACATAAGATCGAGAAGCCCACCAATGTTCAGATAGTTAGCAGCCTGAAAATCC